TATATATAGTTTTATATAATTTTATATAATTATATATAAAATATTTTTTCCCGGGGAATTTTAATTATTATACACGTATTATTGCTACAATTATATTATTATATAGAGCATATTAATACATTAATAATAGAAATTTTTTTCATTTTTTAAGAAAATAAAAATTATTTAGCAAGAAAGATATTCTTTAATAACGAAAGATTCGACGAAGAAGACACGTTTAAGATATAGAGACGCTTGTTAAGTGCTGAATGTTCGAGCGTTGGCGCGCCATGCCATCTCGCGGACCCTGCGTTACCTCCGTTACCCTTCCGCGTCCCGCGACCACCTATTATCGGACTTCCCCGGAATTCCTGCAACCTCAGCTTCCTTAGAGCGCGCATGCGCGGCGGCGCGTAGTAATACTAGACGCTTGTATGGCCGATTCTAACGGTCCTCTCTCCTCGTGCTGCCGAGCAAGGTGTGACAGAATAAATTCCCCTTTGGTGTTAAACTAATCAACGAGTTTTTATTTGGCGGTGACCAGCTATCCCGGTACGTTCCGGCAATTAACGACACACAGCGGCTCATCAAGAAAGAAACAGAGACAAAGAGAGATACATATCTCTCGGCCACGGTCCCGATAGAGAAATTCCGGGGACACCCGTGGAAGGCACAAGCTGCAGCGCTACACAAGGCGCCCTATTGAACAACGCTCCTGAGCTGAAACGTCATGCGAGCGATCGACGGCTCTGCCGCTGAGACTCGAGCGGTAGTGAGGGTCGCTCGCTGGAATCAGCCCGAAATGTGCATCTAATGCCGAGCACTGAATTAAACAATCTTTCTCGCATGTATTATTTCGAACTTTGACTGTTAATAACTTTTTAACGGACAGCGACCGCCATCTGTAACCTGGTAGAGGTCACTCAAAGTCATGACCTTGACAACATATGTCAAGGTCAAGGTCATCGGAGGTGGCTCCCCTAATCTTAACATTCCCAGATCTTAATAAGAAATAATCAAGGAGAAAAATTTTTAGAGAATTCTTTTTTGTGAATAATTTTAATTCTTCTTTGATTATGTAATCAATTAGTAACAAATAAATAACAACAAAATTCTTACAAAATAATTTTACATAATAAATCAGATTCTTTAAAATACAAAGGATCATAAACTTGATCAGTTCTTGTATATTCGACCGTGATTCAACAAAAAATTTCTACTGAATGGATACTAATTTCAACAGTTTCAAGTAAAAGAAGAATAAATAACAAAATCTAATTTCTATTTTAAATACATTGACCTCTTTAACATTGTATATTATTCAACTTACTCAGATTTTCCTAAGACATCGTCTAAAAATTTCATCTGTTCGTAAAACCTAAAGGAACTTTTTTTCTTAGTTACTGTTTCGGTAGCAGATCCACTAGGAATATAAGCATGTTCCTTTTTTTGGCCTTCATGAAACGATCTCGAAGATATCGCCATCGTTTTTTAGTTTTAGCTATATTAAGTTTCCCTATAAACATACATTATGATCAATAAAAAATTTCAATGAGTTTATATAATCATCATATACACACATGGCCAAAATATACATATTAATCTCCTAATGAGTTAGATACTTCTTATCACAATGCTTTTTTTTCAAAGTGCTTCTGTTGATTGATGGTATTCGATGATCATATAATGCTCGCTTTTGGGATACATGATATATTAGTAGCTCATCAACATTAACTTCTTAAACACTGTCGTTTTGCACATCACTGGATTCATTGAACTCTTCTGCAAAAGACACTATAGTATTGTTTGTTTAGTAAACATAAAACTAAATTCCATTCTGTATGTCCTATTGTTAGAAGGAACAATGTAATTTTTCAGTAGATAATTAATGACATACTTTGCCAAGGGAGATATACCTTTATTAATAAAATAATATTTTACTTACCAATAATAACTACCAAATTTTCATCCACTTTTAAATGATGAATTTCTTCGTTAAATGGTTGAAAGTAAGAATGGAATTCAATAGATCAAAGTTTTTTGTGAGAATATATCCACAATACTTGCATTTTTTATTAATCTATACAACAATAATAAACGATTATAACGTTAAATTTATGTATAAGCAGAGAAAGTAATAAACTCATGTTATAAAAACATGGTAATTACGGAGATGACGGCCGACCTCACCGATTTTAATGAAATTAGACTTATTCGATGCGTTTTTGCATGAAACGAACGAATCTGGCAGAAATAAGCGTCGCTCTGCCCCGCGAACCGAGATATTTAGCGTTAAAGTTCACGACCGTTCAGGTTAGGAAATCTGTCATACCGACTCGATATAAGCGCTAT